ACCACGAAGTGGTATTAGCGGATAGTAAGGGCAAGGGACGTTTAGAAAAGTCAGATCCAAAACTGCTGGACAAGCTGTATCTCGTTCAAGGAAGCAAATTGCTTGAATTGTTCCACATCAGCCGATGTGGTTGCGAGGAGAACAAGGAAGAAGAAGCTGCTCGGCTTGTAGAGTCTGGCTCTGTTCCAGTGATTATATATACCACAGAAGGATCGGAAACGAAACTGAAACAGTGGCAAGGACGATGGATCTGAGTTGGTTTTCTCAAAAAACTCAGAGAATTTCAAATTTTTTCCAAACTTTTTCAGGTTTATACTTGCCCTCATCCCTTTTTCTCAATGCGGTAAGCAGAGAACACGCGGTAACAAGAAGAATATCATTGATTTCGCATAGCTTTTTGTTTTTCTAGAATTTTTGAAGAACAACTGATAAAGTATAAATGTGATTTTGGGTCTGGTAACGCACATTCAATATTCTTTCTGAAGGGAAATTATTGTTTTCCTCATCTAGCCACCCAGCCGGGGTGTTTCATCAAATTTCAATGAAAATCGAAAGATTTTTACTCGTTGTTTCAAATTATCGCTTCAAATAACTAGCTCTCTTGCGTAATCACGCGGTTTCACTCTCCTTTTTTATATCTTCTTTTCTTACCAATTTCCTATTACGTAAGATTTTCCCTTTCCTATGTAGTTTTTATTCAGAAAGGAATCCTTTTAGCACTTTATTAGCTTTTCTGAGGTTATCTTAATTCGATTTCGGTATTCTATAAATATTTTTGGAACCATGGGTTTGCGTAACTTGTATAGTGTTTCGCGAAGAACGTGAAAATATATAGCGCAATGGCTTGTTGAAGATAAGAAGAACAATGCTGAAAAAAAAAACCATTAACTTCGTATCTTTTTTTTTGCAACTTCGCGACTTGCCCATTGCTTGATTGAGCCAAATCCCAGATTAGAGTCGAAAATATAACATACTGTAGCTTCGAAGATGCTGCTTCGGTAAGGGCTCGAGATAAAAATAGCGTCAATATCATGACAAAGGCTATGATGCATCCCTAAAATCTTGCTACGTTTGAGTAAATATTAGGCTGTCCCAAAAGTACACTCCATTTTCGAATAAATTGAGCTGTTTTTGTTCTCCTGACAGTTTTAGGGTAGCATTAGATAGAGCGGGGCAAGCTCTACAAAAAGATTCAAAGAGCCACCTAAGTGCTAATGTAAGTACCCGAAAATCAAAATTTTTCAGCTACACAAAAAAAATATCCCCTTCCAGAAACTTCCTACGGACTTCTCAGAAATCACAGAAAAGTGTGGCGTGGCCCAAGCAATACCCCGAAAAATGTTTTAATGAATTTTCAAAAAATGTAAAAAAATTTTGATTTTTCACAATATGAACAAGTCCCACTGACACATACGGGACGGGTTTGTTGGGGGCGGAGTTTGCCATTTTTGGACTGTCTTTTCTCTCGCTTTTTATGCGGGGCAAAAACCAGTGATGGTTTAAGTACTACTGTGTGTCTGCTTATAGTGACCAAGTTGGAGGTCCATAGGATTCTTTTTCTCGCAAAAATCAATTTTTAAGTGTTTTTTCCGCTTTTGGCTTTACTTTAAATGGAACGCGACTGAGGCGAATCCTTGGTGGTCATTTTCTAAAGCTTGATCTGCTCTATCGAGTGACACCCTAAGTCTACTAGAGCAAAAACAACTTGATTTATTTAGAAAGGAGTTCACTTTCAAGACAATCTTTTCAGATCCTCACAAACCTGTATGTAAAAACTGATATTGGTCTTCATATAGGCCATCTGCTGCCGGGATTCTGATTTACTGGATTTTCGAATCGCCTGAACATTAATTTATTGTCTTCTTTCGAGCGCCTCAGTGGCGGAGACCTTACCCTAATCTCCTTTTGGAGGTAGAAAAGCGTCAGAGTATTTGTTGCTACAATAAGAAGACTGATCCCTACGCCGAAAATAAAGCTTATATACTGAGTTGATATGTAAGTGCATCTCGTATTACGATACGTCCACGAAGCCGCTTTGGCACTGAACCACATCGAGCAGTCATCTGTCAGGAAAGATTTTGAATTTTATTGAAAGAAAACAAGCAGCTTAACTTACACCATGAGAACTGGGCAGCGTGAAAAAGCGATAGAATCCATGTGGATGCGATGTAAATTACCAAGTTTCTTCCAACGAAGAGTTTGCTAGAAAAAACTAGTTTAATCCTTAGAATATGTCTGCAAGCCTTAAGAACATAGAATGTAATTGTAATCAATATGAATCAGAGTCAAAACGAAACTAGGCAAGGTAGCCGGGCAGTTTTTTTGTTGTCCACATCGGCAGTAGTCCGGAAAACTCGCTTTTGGGTCATTTCGGTATTTTACATCGACCATTAGCTGATTTTGGTCAAGTGAATTTATGTCTTTAAAACCCGGCCGCAAACAGAGGAGCGCCCTTCTAAAATATTAGGTTGGAATGAAAAGAAAGTCATTTTTCACAGCAAATCAATAAGATGTATTCAAAAAAATATGTGAGTGGTACCATTCGATACAGCAAAGAAAGCTCTAGAAGACAACGTTTGAACAATAGCTAAAAATCGTGATCTACTCAAAGTTTGGAGCCGAAACATAAGAGCAACTCATAATGCC